GTGCTACTATTTATTATAATAGAATTTTACTAGGATTTGGAGGCATTGTTTAGACGCGCTACGAAGGCACGTGTGGGGGATTGAAAGCTTCTCCTTATATCATGCCAAAGAACAAGGATCCTCTAGAGTTTTTTTTTTCTTAAAGTTTTTTAGAGTGGTGTGTTGTATGGTTGAGATTTAATAACAAGTCACATCAATTTTTTAGCATTAAATCTCACCCATACAACACACCACTTTAGAAAACTTTAGAAAAAAAAAACTCTAGAAGATTCTTGGTGCATGCGAAAGCAAAGCAAGCGAGGGTGACTACAGAGTACGATACCAACCACTGCAATGTCACACCAACATTTGTCCCTCCTTAAATAATATTTATAAAAAAATAAAAATAAAATAACAATGATACATCACCCCAATATCAAAATTTTAAATAGAATTTTAATAAGTTAAAAGGAAGAGAAGAGAGAGAGAAAAAGAACTGTAGACTTCACTTTTACATAAACATTTTTCACATTATTACAATTACATTAAAATTTTCAAATATTATTTTAAAAAAATACTATTATACTTGGCATCTAAAATATAAATAAATTACACTTCACTATCTCCTCCACTTTATTAAAGGACCCTCCACCACCAATGTTTATTGTCTTGTTCGTTATCAATATATATATATATATATACACAGAGAGGGAACCATTTCATCTCTATATATATAGAGAGAGAAAGACGAATAGTCAGGCAGTACGGTACACTGGGAGAGAGAAAGCGACTCGAGAGTGAGAGAGAGAGAGAGCACGACTGGAATCAAAAAGAAAAAAGAGAGGCCCCCTCGAGAGTTATGCCGGCAATTTTCCTTCTTTTGCCATCCACTCTCTTCTTGAAGGACACCTACTCTCTCTCTCTCTCACATAATACAACAATTATTCATCGTTCTAATTTAAGAATATTAATTAAGTATTAATGAGGTGAAATTTATTTAAAAAAAAAATAAATAAATAAGGCCCATTTCTAAAACTCCTTTAAAACTCATAGTTTAAAATCCCAAACATTATTCCTCCTCATATAAAACTCATAGTTTAAAATCCCAAACATTATTCCTCCTCATATAAAACTAACACTGTTTGTTTGCTTTGCCGCCCTTTATGTGTACGTTATGTATATATACACACCTATAGCATACGTCAGGTTTGTTTGGTTGGATATGTGGTTGTGGTTGTGGTTGTGATTGAATTAATATTTAATAAAATTATTAATCTAATATTTTGTTAAATAATTAAAGTATAGATTAATAATTCATCAAAATATGATATCTCACATGTACGGAGAGGAAATAATTCTCCTCGTATAATCCTGTTGACCAAGTCCACGCTCCTCCGTACGACGTCGCTTTATCACCTGCGGTCTATAAAAAAATTTTTAGGACTAAACAGTGCATAAGTTATTAATTTGGGATTTATTGGTACATCCCCTTTCTAAAACTCCTTTAAAACTCATAGTTTAAAATCCCAAACATTATTCCTCCTCATATAAAACTAACACTGTTTGTTTGCTTTGCCGCCCTTTATGTGTACGTTATGTATATGTACACACCTATAGTTAATAAAATTATTAATCTAATATTTTGTTAAATAATTGAAGTATAGATTAATAATTCATCAAAATATGATATCTCACATGTGATGGACTATTTAATTTCACAGAGAAGGATGAGATATAAATTAGGGACTAAATCAAAGTTTGAACTATTAGTCCCTCCTTATAATCTTAATTCAATCCAAACGTGAGATATGATACACAATTCAAAAGGATTCGAAATTCTAGAACTATTAATCATGAAAATGCTAATCCAACCTAATTCAGTCCGTCTAAACAAACATGACCTATGGGTCATATTCAAGTGATGATATTCATAAGTTTGATTATCGTAAGTGATAAGTTTAATTATCGTAAGTAATGACATTTATAAGTTTAATTATCTTAATTGATATAACTTAATGATATAAAGTTATAATTAAAAAAAAAATATTAATCAAGTATCACATATAAATCACGGTAGTACTACGTGCATCAATTAGTATATTAACTAGTGTACCAACTAGTGTTATGACATTATTATATCCAAAACCTCTAAAATTATGTCACATCATCTATTAGTACACTAATTAATACTCCCTCCGTCCCAAAATAATGGTCCCTTTTGGGGAATCTAACTTTTTTTGGTAGTACAATTATTGCATTTGAAAAAAGTTGATTTTCCAAAATTATCCTTTTGATAGTACATTTTTTGGGAATATCAATGCATAATTGTACTTTTTATGTTGTTTATTAATTTAAAAGAAGGGTAAAATAGGAAATTTATATTATTTTTGTACTTGCGGAGTAACTTTAACAGCTTGGGCCGGAGTGTCTTTTATCTCTCCTGGGCCGGAATAACCTTGCGGCCTTTTTACCAAGTCCTTGGTGCTTTGGGCCACGAAGCCCACCACATAGCTCGGCCCAATTTTTACCAAAAATTACCCTCTCAATTGCCCCTTAATCCCATCTGCATTGCATGATTGGGATTACCAGTCCACCAGCCGAGCTGGCGTCTGTTTTAAGCTTTTCCAGCCGAACTAAAAATACTTTAGCCTCTCCAGCCGTGCTAAAAACTCTCGAACTTTTAAGCCGAGCTAAATTTTACTTCGGACTCCGTTTTGTCCGGTAAAAAACGTCTCTTCAATCATAGCGTCTGTAACGCTTCCCATTCCAGTGACACGTGGCAGGCTCTGATAAGCCATGGCCAACTGTTACGCCGCCCTGCAGAAATTTTGTACAATTTCCGCCTCTTTTTGCCGCCTTTTTCTCTCCCCTCTTTCACAAAATAACCTTTCTCTTTCTTGAATCACTTCACCTTTCATTCTTCATTTTCTCTTCTCCTCTGTTTCCTGAGCTTTTGAGCTTTGAGCTTGCTGGGTTCGTGCCTCTATTGCTGCCATTGCCTCCATCTCTTAGCTTCTCTCTTACTCGGGTAAGCAAGCGTATCCTTCTTGCTCTTTTGCCTGTGTTATCATCTGTTTCTGTTTTGTATGTGTTTTCGAAAACACTTTTCTCCATTTGTTGCTTTGCTTTCGTACTTTTATGAAAAAACCAGTAGAACTCCATGTGTGTATGAACTATTATGTAGAAAACCACTCTTAGATCCAAAATCACATAGCAACCGAACTAGGATCCTGTTTGCTCCCAGATAGGTAGATCTTTGTAGTCAATAACCGAACTAGAACTTGAAAGTTTCAAAGGGGTTACCAGAGTCTAACTCGCTTTAGCCGAAATAAGATCACCAAGTTTGGAATATAGCAAACTAGGAACCTCGGTGGTCAACCGAACTAAGCTTTTGGGGCCAAGTCGGCTCTCTTGGTTCCTAAACCGAACTCAGAAAGCCGCCCCCAGAGGCTTAACCGAAGTAACCCTATTCACAATGCAGCCGATTTAGGCCTTGGGGCTAAACCAGCTCTCTTAGTCTTTTAGACCGAACTCAGAAAGCTGCCCCTAGACGTAAAACCGGTCTACCGAGCAAACTGCTCAAACTCAGCTGCCAAACCTTTTGATGAACCGAGATAGAACCAGTTAATTTGAGGCCGAAGTAGGGCTCTTATACCTTGCTTTTAAATTGTAGCACGGTCCATTGAACAGTGCTTTAACCCCCTCTGTTTTTTACTTTGCAGACTTAGGTTACCCAGGCACTCCTGCGTGCGCTCAACCGAGTTACTGAGCACGATTTTTGCACCGAAATAACTTATCCGTAAATTATACAACAAATGGGTAAAGGGACTTTCTCCATAGATTTTAGAATTAGAACTCATCACATGCATAGCTTTTGATTTTGTTCTTGACTTCAAGTCTTTGAGCTTGTAAATGGAATTTTGGTTTTGCTTTGAAATCATGATTTTCATTGAAGTAAGAATATCACACCCTGGGATAATGAAGGCTTCGTCCCCTTTACTCTTCAATCCATAATAGAAACCGGACTACGGTTTCCTGTCCAACCATTGATCTGTGAGTTCCTTAGGCAGACTAGGTTATGCCCCACCCAACTGTCCACCAATACATACCGTATTATTATGGGAATAGCCGCACTAAACCACCAAACCGGTTTAAACCTTGGCCTTGCCGAAATATTCCATCAATATTCCATCGGCTCGAAAGATGCTGGGTGGGTCTATTACCTTAGGATCCGCCGCCGCCGAGAGAAGATAGTTAAGCACACACCGGACAAAGACCTTAATGATGATGACTTCTTCTGGGTCTCTGGGAATTTTGAGGATTTTCAAGCCCAAATTCCTGGCCGACCTATAAATTGGAAGAAGGGAGAGCCTGGTAATTTGACTTCGGTCTTCTTCCTTGAATTTTATTTCGGTTTATGTTAGTTTATTAGCCGAACTAACACTTCTCTTTTTTGCAGATTTCGCCCATCTTCATTCCTTATATAGTTATCCAAACCTTGCAATCTTGCGAGCCGCGCTACGGATTAAAGAAAGAAGTTGGGCTGAGCTTCTGAACTTTGAGCCGACCTACCGGTACAGCGGTCGCCGAAAAGCAAGGGTAACCGATTTCCTTCTTGAGGAAGCACCAGAGCCGGACCCAACCTTGCCCGAAATACGACTTGTCCCATTAACTGCTGAAGAGGAGATGGCAAAGAAAAGCAAAGTTAGGGCCCTTCTGACCGCAACAACCAGAGCCGAAGTACCACCAACCATTGAGGCGCAGCCCGCCGTTGTGGCCCTCCCCTCTCAATGGCCTTCTTCATCTCGCCCTTCCAAGCGCGCCCGATCTACATCGACCGAATAGCTACTTGTCGATGAGGTTGAATCCATCCTCCAAAGTCCTCAACCGTCCCCCCAACCGGAGCAAACTGACCGAGCCGAATCTCCGAAGTGGGCTCCGCCGCTGACTTTTAACGACCGAGACATCAAAGCTACTGACTCGGTCGTGGCTGAAAAAGACCACCAATTGGCCGTTAACCTGGCCAAAAGTGTGTGCCTCCCCAAGGACATGGAGCACCACTTGAAGCAACTGAACACCGAAATGAAGTCAATTCGGTCTGCTTCCAAGTCCATGATTTTGGTAAGTATCTCTGTCCACTTTTTTCTTGTTTGAAGTTTCCAATTTTTACTTCGGCTGAAGAGAAGTCTTCGTTTTGTCAGGCCTTGCAGAAGAACAACATCACTTATAAGAAAGTCCAAGAACTCCGCAAAACCACAAGGCAGGCGATGGCGGAAGCCGAAGCAAAGGCGGCCGAACTAGAGGAGGCCGAAAGGAAAATGACCGAGCTTCAAGCAGAGAACGGTCGGCTTGCCGATCTGGTTAGCTCGGCTGAAGCGGAGAAGCAGAAAGCAGCCATCGTTATGAAGGACAAGTATCTGCGGGAGTTGTTGAAGCTTGAGAAGAGAAAAGACGCCGAAATAAGCGAACTAAAAGAGAGCGTGGAGGCGGCCGAAAAGGAGGGGTACAAGCGAGGTTACAAGGAGGCAGAAGATGCCTATGTCAAACAATGCGACGCCGCCAAGGAGCTTTTCTTCAAGTATGGCCGAACTTCCATTTGACCGAAGTAAAAATGGCTATGCCGAGTCACAAAGTAGGCCGTACTAACAGTAGTTCGGTTCTTCTTCATGCTACACCATATCTCGGTTCTCTCATACATGATCCGTGGTGTGTTTGGACCGATCCACTGAGTAACAACATTACAACCGACCTATCCCGAATTCAATCATGACCGGACTACCTTTTGAGACCGGACTAACTCAAGTTGTCAAAACCAAAGCAGCTTTACATTCCTTTAGCCGAAGTAACTTTATCTCTTTTGACCGAAGTAAGTCAACATCTCCTCAGAACCGGAGTAAATCTATCGTTCTTGAACTGGAGTAACTTTAACAGCTTGGGCCGGAGTGTCTTTTATCTCTCCTGGGCCGGAATAACCTTGCGGCCTTTTTACCAAGTCCTTGGTGCTTTGGGCCACGAAGCCCACCACATAGCTCGGCCCAATTTTTACCAAAAATTACCCTCTCATCACATGTGATGGACTATTTAATTTCACAGAGAAGGATGAGATATAAATTAGGGACTAAATCAAAGTTTGAACTATTAGTCCCTCCTTATAATCTTAATTCAATCCAAACGTGAGATATGATACACAATTCAAAAGGATTCGAAATTCTAGAACTATTAATCATGAAAATGTTAATCCAACCTAATTCAGTCCGTCTAAACAAACATGACCTATGGGTCATATTCAAGTGATGATATTTATAAGTTTGATTATCGTAAGTGATAAGTTTAATTATCGTAAGTAATGACATTTATAAGTTTAATTATCTTAATTGATATAACTTAATGATATAAAGTTATAATTAAAAAAAAAATATTAATCAAGTATCACATATAAATCACGGTAGTACTACGTGCATCAATTAGTATATTAACTAGTGTACCAACTAGTGTTATGACATTATTATTAACCCAATATATTATACAAATTATAAATATCTAAAACCTCTAAAATTATGTCACATCATCTATTAGTACACTAATTAATACATTAATTAGAACTTATAGCATTATTCTGTAAATCATGTTTAATTATTAAGATTAATAGTAAATGAATTAGAGAAATGCGTGGTAGCTCGAAAGTTGAACAGCCTGAATCCCCCAAATGTCAAAATGACGTTATTTTGACACTATTTTATTTTATTTTTCTTTTTCTTCTTTTTCCTTCTTTCTTGAATTGGTTTGAATGAAAGAGATAGGCGAGAGAGAACAGAGAGGTGAGAGAAAGAGAGGAGAAGGAAGAGAGAGGCGAGAGAGAAACAGATAGGCGAGAGAAACAGAGAATGAGGTAGAGAGGAGAAGCCGACGCTTGATCTTCGAGAGGCCGAAGCTTGATCCACCATGGACGGAGAGACCGAAGCTTGATCCGCCATGGACGGAGACCCACCCCACCGCCATGGATGGAGAGGGCAAAGCTTGATCTTCGGCTATGGATCTTCGGTTCGACTGTGATTGTTTTGATTTGTTTTTTTTTTGTGATTTTTTGGGTTGTTTTGCAAACTGTGATGATTTTGTTTTTTATTTTATTTTATTTTGATTTTGATTTTGATTTTGCAAACTGTGTTGATTTTGTGTGTGCTAGTTTTGGCTGTGGATCTTCGGTTGAACCATTATTTTCTTCTTCCTTGGGTTTGATTAGCAAAAGAATTTTTTTTGTTGATTAGCAGAAGTGAATCAACAAACCCAGAAGGAAAAAGAGAGGGAAAGAAAAAGAGAAAGAATGAAGGAGAAATAAAAAGAATAATTTTTTTTTGAGCCACTCGGGCTCTTCATTTTCGAGCGACGTAGCGCGGTCCAATGAATTAATAATCTGATTAGTGTAGGATTGATAATGCAGTTGAGTTAGCGAGATAACTAATTCACTCCTATCTAAGTTTGTTTTGCTATAACTATGAAAATATATAATCTTAATTATAAATTTGTGTTGAATTATTAGTTGTAATATTAAAAAATTTGTCAATTTTATTGAATAGAATGTCCATTAAAATCTAATTTGGATAACAAAATCTATAACCAAACAATAGGTTGTGAGTCCAATGAATTAATAATAATAATCATATGCTATAATCCATCCAATCAAACAGGCTCATAAGGTATAACTAAAGAATTTTTAGATCATAACTAAAATAATATTATAATTAATATCACAATATGTCTCAACTAAAATATCACAAATGAGGTGTACCATAAAATTTCCTTCTATAGTAATACTATATATTTAAAATTGTATTTAAAAATGTTAATATGTTATTCAAATTTATTTAAGTCTTACATTATATTTAATTAGTACAATTTATTATAAGTTAAAAATTAATAATAAGTAAAAAATATTATAATTAAAAGTTGTACCGAATAGACATACCTATTCTCACCCCCCATAAACTCTACTCTCATAAAAGAATATATAATGTATATCACTCCAATAGTAAAAATGTTATTTCACAGACCAAATGTTTTGATTTTCCCAAATGCTGTCAGTTATATATATAAATAAAGTTTGTTTGAAAATTAAATTTGAAATGACTTTTTAATTTTTACAAGCGAATGTATAAAAATAAAAAAATATATGTTAACATTTATATTAATTTTTTTACTTTTTAATTATTTTAATTAATTGCCAAACATTGTAATAGTATCAATGTTAGGTCAAGTTTGGCATCCTTAAAAAAATTTAAAAAGTTAAAAAGTCACTATCCTATTTAAGTCACATCATCTTATTTAAGTCACATCACCTCTCTAACACATCACTTTAAACCCAACCCAAATCTAATCCATATTTTATAAAAAGTCAAAAAATACACTTATTTAGTCTTCCCAAACTTGGTGAGAGTCGTTGGTCAGTTTATTATCGCCCGCATTCATCGTACCCTTTCATCATGTGTCATTGTCATATTGTCATTTACCCTTCTCTATCAAGACCACGTTTGGTTGCCGGGAAAGTGAAGGAGATTCGATTTTTATTACCTCAGCTCCATTTGTTTTACTTTTGATTTCATTATTACTTTAAAAGATGAGATAAATGTGTTCGTCATACATCAATCCAATGAGAAGGGTGGAATAAAATTGGATATGACCAAAAGTTATGAACAAAATTACAAACATACCTTGTTTTCATAAGATACACAATCCTTTTTATCCCAATGATAGTTTTACTCATAAAAACTTTTTTGTCTTTAAATCTTTCTAAAAAAATAAAAATAAAACGCTCGTAATTGTTAAATTGTGTAAAATTTTAAAAGTGTAAAAATTTCATGACACATTCTAAAGTGTTTTACAAAAATAAAAGAATTTAAAGGCAAAGACTCTAGGCCTTAATTCAGAGGTAGGTTTTTGACGCAGATTGAAATTTAAAAATTATATTATTTTAGTATTTAATCAGGATTATTGATTAAGGCAAAAATGTTTAATTTTTAGTCTGTTTAGGTTTTCTATTTAGTTTATTTTCTTATTCTACAAGAATAAGGCCAAGTTTGGCTACAAAGGAAAAAGTGTACTTATTTCATCTTTTTATCTTTTTTGGGTCACATTAATCAATATCTCCTCTCTACTTTTTTAACACATAATACAAAAAAAGTCAAAAAATACACTTATTTAGTCTTTCCAAACTAGGCCTTGTGTTCTTTATAAGAATTATTTTTATTTCTTAACTATCGTATCTTCCTTGTTAGTGGTAGTTGGTTTATGAATTGTCTTTTATTATAAATAATGGTGTAAACCTTAGTACAAAACAACGTTGATTTAGGGCTGGTTTGGAGTGTTCTAAAAAAGTATACTTTTTGTCTTTTTGGACTAAAAAAGTTAAGAAAAAAATATGGAGGTTTGGGTTAACTTTTTAACTTTTTATAGAAAAATGTGTATTAAAAAATTGTATAAAAAAAAAGTGTGTAAGAGATGATTAGAGAGGGGTGGGCCCCAGCCGTACGACCGGCTGGAGTGAATTGGGATTGGAAATTATTGGCTAATTTTTGTACAAAGCACTGGACGGTTTTGTTTGGCCCGTGGGGGTCATCACGGGTCCCATTTTAATAATCTGAACCGTTCAATATGTGTAACTCGTCGAACACTATGTACTTGTAAAAAATACGTTAATCGGATATCGATAGCTATCTGATCAGATTTATTTATTTTTCAATAATTAATTATAACATCATTCATTTGTTGTACATAACTGATTTGATCATATAGTTATCGATATCCGATCAATGTGATTTTTTGCAGACATATAATACTTGACGATTTCTACACATTGAACGGTTCAGATTATTAAAACGGGGCCCGTGATGACCTCCATGAGACGAACAACGGTGTGTGTAAAAACCACACCCAATCATTTCTTTTTCCTCCATTGCCGCACACATCAATTCGGTGAATAGTGATTTTGAAGAAAATTGATTTTTAAATTTTTTTTTTGGTGAATAGTGATATCTTTTTGGATTTTGGAGTAACTTTTTGACTTTTTGACTTATGTAGGATAAGCCAAACCAACCCTTAATATAAACACTTTGAGAGAAATTTCTCTTCTTTTTTCTTATATTTCTGGTAATTTTTTAATTCAATAGATTTGTAGAAGAGTTGTAATTGTTTTAGTTGCATGATTCTGTTGCTGTCACGTTTCTACACTCCATCAATTTTTAAGATTGTGATTGGATTATGAATTTAGGTATAAATTTAAAAAGAAGAAGAGAAAACGTGAGTTAATGATGCAAATACAGCATAATTGTAAATCAATTGTGACAATGGTTGCTCCAAATTTTGAGAATTTCACACATAACACATATATAGCATCCCCAAAATTTGAGAAATTTGTACTTATGACCCCTCTCTCACATGGTTAGTTCCATTGCTGATATTATCAGTCAATTTGACCAAATTTAATTTTACTATATATCCTAAAATTGACTGGTAAAGGGCGGCGTATTTGTTCATGGTCCTTGTCATTTTTCAATTAAAAAAATGATCCAAAATTGGCAATGCAAGTTAAAAGAGGAAGGAAAAAAAA